TTATTCATTGACCAGACCTCTCTCTCCCTTCAGCCAAGACTACTAAACCATCTCTACCCATAACATACCAAACCAATAGCCCCTCCTTTCTCCTCACACCTACATCCCGACTAATCACCATCACTCACCGACCAACACAAACACAACATGTCAAGACAGTAGGACTATTCTCATAAAAAAAAAAAATGGTTTTCATTTTTCCATTAAAGAATCAACCATGTGGGAGTATTATTTTAAATGGGTCATGTTACTTCGAAGTCGAAATTTTTAAATTGTTGTTAATGCACACATTACTGTGCGCACGCGTATATGAATCTAGGTTGATGAGTTAAAAGGGTTTCATTGACAATGTTTTTCGTTCATTTCTCAGTAATTAAACGCTATTTTATTTACTAGTCAGCTTTTTCAATTTTACCACCTACTTTGCAATGCGTATCGAACTTCAAATGATAATTGCATTGAATATATCAGTTCAAGTTCGTGCAAAATGAGATGAACATAGTAAAATGAGTGACAGTCCAGAAGAAAAAATATGGAAGAAATTAATTAAACTCATTGAATAGCTAGCGACATGCATTGCGCGAGCTTTCCAGCAAGGTCCTCCATTTCCATTAAATCTTCCTCCTCCATCAATAACGAGACCATTAATATTCTTAAACCCGATCCAACCATCTCTCAAAATCAACACCAACCCATGAATCAAAGCTTTTTGGTGCCTTGCTAGGTCATTAATCTGCAACAATTTCATGAAGTGATTGGAATATTGGATGGAGACAGGTATATATATTATATATAGGATCAGCACAGGCACCAATGGTAGGAACAGGAATATGATAAAAAAAATTGTCTTAAATATTTACATCCTTTTCCAAAACTCACAATATCACAGCTTCTAAATCCCCTTCATTCGGTCTTCACCTAAGATTTAAGTCAATGATTTCGTCAAAAAAAGTCAACTATCAAAGCTAACATTTTTACTATGATTTAATTGTTTTTTTTTAAGAAACAAAGTTAATTAACCGCATTGCACGCAACATCAAATGACCCTTTCTATTTGTTTGTTCACTCCCCATCATTTCAACGTGGCGGTTAGGGCAAAATGAAGGCATTACCTCCACACCCATGTTGAAAACAAAGGTATTTTCTATGGCTTACAACTTTCAGGCAGAACATTATTTTCCGGTACGAGAATTCGGAGTGCCACATTTTTTATCTGCTGGAATTGATAGAGACTGCTTGTATCCTTAGAACAGCCAAATCCCATGCATGCACTTCTTAATTATTATGTTCGAGCTAGGCTTGCATGGTAAATTCTAGGAGACAAGAGGAGCGATTAAAGAGGTTAATTTATTCCCTTCCTTGATTTTTAAGTTAAGATCTTAATTAGAATAAGTATTTTATAAGCATTTGTGTTTCCCGAGTGAAAATGATACAAAAATAATTTAGAATATTTGTTCAAATACCAATAATAAATAATAAGATATCAAGAAATGAAAGCGCATCTCACACTCGCTTTGCTACAAAATAAGTTGTAAAGTTCTAGTAATTCCATGCCAATATCTAAGTGAAGAAATTTATGTTAGCAAAGTGATTTATCACTTTTATTTTTTATTTTTTCTTTAAAAAATAAAATCATTTTTACTAAAAATAAAGTTTTTTTTTTCTTTTTCATATTCTCCATGTATTTTTAATCCATCCATGGTAAATTGAAATGATAAATAAAGACTAATATAAATAAACTATTCAAGAAAACAAAACTTAATATAACTTACAATATTTTTTTATTAAATTAAAAAAATATTCTTGCACTAACTTACACATCAAATAAATTTCACAACCATACCAAATATTTATTTGTTTTTTTTTTTATAAATGAGACAAAAGTGGTCTTATGGATGTGAAAAATGAGAACAATCTCTCACAAAATTATTCTCTTAATTACCCTTCTAATTAAAACATTTGGAAACCTAATTAATTTTCCCACACAAAACCCATTATTAAACCTCACTTTCCTTTTTCTCTACTCCTTCCTCTCTCTTCCCTTTCCCTTTTAAAAACCACATCTTTGCAAGCCCTCTCCTCTTTCGCTTTTAATCTCTCTCTCTCTCTCCTTCCCAAAAGCAACAAGGAAACAAACAGCAAGGAGAGAGAGATACCAAAAAATCCCTCTCAGATCTCTCCCTTTTGAAAACCCCAAATTTTGAATTTTCAAAAATGAGCCAGAAATCACTGATCTACGCATTTGTTTCTCGAGGAACTGTGATTCTTGCTGACTATACTGAGTTCAGTGGGAATTTCAATTCCATAGCTTTTCAATGTCTCCAGAAACTTCCTGCTACTAACAACAAGTTTACTTACAACTGTGATGGCCACACTTTCAATTACCTCGTTGACAATGGCTTTAGTAAGTGTTTTTGATTTGTGGGTTTTCTTTAGTTCTGAGGTTTTTATGTTTTTGAAGAGTTTTTGTTCTGGGTTTTCTGTTTTGGTATCTCGGTTATCATTGTTTTTTGCTGTAAGAGAGGGTTTGTTGGGTTTTTGTAGATTTTATTTAGGGAGGTGCGTTTCATGAGACATGAATTGGATCTGTTTGATTCTCTTGAAACTGTGGCTCGACTATAGAGAGGATTTATGTTTTTGGGTTTCCGAAAATGTTATGTCAATGCAAAACCTAAGAATTCTAACGTTCTTAAATAACATATGAAAGTAGTATAAGGATTCTAAGTGACTTTGCCTTTACGTCGAAGATTGACTTGAGTGTTTTTTGTTGTTGCAGCTTATTGTGTGGTTGCAGCTGAATCGGCTGGAAGACAAGTACCTATAGCTTTTCTGGAGCGTGTGAAGGATGATTTTGTGACAAAATTTGGCGGTGGAAAGGCTGCCACAGCCCAGGCCAACGGTCTTAACAAGGAATTTGGGTGGGTGATCTAGCTGGGTTAAGACTGTTGAGAGAAGAGGGTGAAGTTTTTTGTTAATGTTGTTGATAATTGAGGTGAACTGTTAACTTGTTGCAGGCCAAAATTGAAGGAACATATGCAATATTGTGCTGATCATCCTGAAGAGATAAGCAAGCTCGCCAAAGTGAAAGCTCAGGTCTCTGAAGTTAAGGGTGTCATGATGGAGAACATTGAGAAGGTAGGTGACCTTTTGCCTACCTGAAACACAGTATCACATTTTTCAAGTTATATTTTTTGTGATACTTTGATTGAATGAGGCACAAGTTTTGTTGTTGAATCATTAGTGCTAGAATGTCATAACGTCGAAAAGTTACTTCATGTGTGCATCCATGCAAGTTTGCTTGTTTATGTGCATGTGGGCACTTGGGTGTGTGTGTTTCGTAACGGAGTGTAAGTAATTTCATGTTCCTGACATGTGGGCACTTGGGTGTGTGTGTTTCGTAACGGAGTGTAAGTAATTTCATGTTCCTGACAAGATTATTATTTTCAAATTACTTTTCATGCAATACTTTGGTTTAAAGCTGTTATAAGTATTTCCATTGAATCATTAGGTTTTACCAAAATGTTCAAAAGTTACCATATTTGTCATGTGTAGATTCTTTCAGGTGTACTAGTGTGCCTTTTGAATGTGCGGACATGTATGTGTTATCGAGCATCAGTTCATTGAGGTTTATGTTTAAGTGGGATGGCATTCCCAATTTTTGGTGCACAGGTAGCTTTAATGCTGAATTGAGTCTTCAGCACCAGTTTATTCGTGTGCTTTCCATCCAAAGTTGGACTTCTTATTTCATTGTGTTCATTGGTGTAGACTAGATGGACTCTTTTTTCTCTTTATTTCCGTGTGTTTTCTTATTTGCAGATTATGAAATTCAGCTGACCCCATTTGGAATTAATGTGTTCACTTCATTTACTGCTGAGATTGAGCTGCACTTGGTTCCTCTTAACACATGGTGTTTTCAAGGTTGAATAAAAGAGATCTTTTTTCTGTATTGATACAGGTTTTGGATAGGGGGGAGAAAATAGAACTTCTTGTGGACAAGACTGAGAACCTTCATCAACAGGTCAGTGACTCTCTCTCACTTGGTGTTTTGGAAGAATGGAGGGCTTTCTTTAAGGAAAATATGTAATCATCTAAATGAAATTTATAGTTTTTATACCTGTTTCACAACAATCATATCACATTATAGCAACACCATCTTAACATGCCTTTGGACAATTTATCTAGATGCATTCCTAATCTTCATTGTTTCGGAAAGATACTGATCCCCTTTTATTGTTTGTGGAAATTGGTAAACTGTAGGCACAGGACTTCCGCAGTCAAGGGACACAAATCCGGAGAAAAATGTGGCTGCAGAACATGAAGGTTAAGCTGATTGTATTGGGTATACTGATTGTCTTGATCCTCATCATAGTCCTCTCTATTTGCAAGGGCTTCAACTGCTGAGAGTGAGATGTTTTTGAAGGCTTGATAATACTGTTTCTAGAGCTTTTGCGAGTTACAAAAGCAAATACCGAATATATTGTTATGACTGTGTGTAGCAGCAACTAGTGATTTCTTTGATATATCGTCCAAGACTTTATTTTTGAATGTGAATGAAACCCTATATGTTATTTGTCATATCATTCCAACGTTTCTTGGTTGATTGATAAAATTTTGGATTGTCACCATACTTTGTAAAAAATGTGATGATCGGTAATGATGGCTTTCATAATCTTTTGCTTGCACGCCAACTTGTTAGCTGAGAAAAAACACTCTCCATATTAGAATTTTCAAGGCACTCGTTTCAATTCTTGCAATCCCAGAATAGGTTTGGTGGTTTTGATAAATGATGATCGCATCGGTGATACAATCATGAAAGTTTGTCTTGAAGATTTTAACCATGTAAATCAACCATGACAAGAGTCATTTATTGCCCTCGTGAGTTGCATGCGAGAATAGAAGCAAAAATCAATTAGAACCCAGTTAAAAAAAAAGAAAAGAATGAATATTATATATAAATTCATCAAACAACAAAATTCAAGCACAAGAAGAGAAGCTTGAGATCAAGTATGGCTTGCGTATTCCAATTTTGGCAGAGAAACAGAGTTCAGATCCTGCCAGCAACAAATCACAAAAAAGAAATTAAAATCCCTCCTTTTTGTGCCTTCATTGCTTCCCCAATCTTAAAACTCACCTTTCCTCTCTCCACCGACAAATCACCATCACCATCACTTCTTTTCTCATTCTCCCTAGAAATCCCCTGGGATTTATTTCCACTTCCACCGCTCACCAAATCAGAATTCTCCCACAAGGCCAAGCCCCCTTCCCTCCTCTTTTCCCACCTGTCCCCACAATCCTTATAACTAGTCTCATCAGGAAACCTTGGCAACCACCTAGGAATATGCAAACCCCTGGAATCCAATTCATCTATTTCCAAAGGAATTGAATCCATCCTCAAAGAAATCGAATTCCCTCTTGGAATAGGCTTGGCAAAAGGGATTTCATCACTGAACTCAACATAAGATTTAATATCTTTAAACACACCAGACCTTAAAAGGCCAATGCCGCTACTATTACAATGCAGCGTGGATCCTCCTGTAAAACCCTGTACGGATGACATGTCATGTAATGAGTTGATGATGTCAAAGATGTTTGATTGAGTACGGTTGGATGCATTGGAATATGACACAGCTGTTTTGGCCAGTGTTTGGAGGTAAAGGGTGGCTATATGGGTTAGGGTTTCAAGAGCTGAGAGGTGTGTGGACTTAAACCCTACTGATTGGCAGATTTGTGATACTGCTGTTTTTGTTATTTTGAAGGCGTAATCTGATGGATTTTTTGCTGCTGCTGCTGCTGGTGGTGGTTTTTTTTGGAAGCGGGTTTTGTTGGATCTTTTGTGGGGCTTTGGTTTCATGGTGATTGGATGGACGGTCATGGAGGAGGAGGAGGAGGAGGTAGAAGAGAGGCTGATTATGATGGGCGAAGGGAAAGGAGGAGGATTCTTCAAAACCCTAACTATGGATAATTAATCATTCCTTGGATTTTGTGCTTGACAAGACTTGAACCCTAGCTGCGCTCCAATTTCTCTAGAGGTGTTCCTTTTTGCCACCGAACCACTAATACTAATTTTTTCAGTGGTACTGTGATTTAAAACTACCTATAAAGAAAATAATTACTTGAATTAATTAACATTGGAAAAGGAGAAAAAGAAAATTAAGATTGACCTTTGAGTGGAAATCAATTCTTTTCCTATTAGAATTCGGATAGTCTATTATATTTTTAAGACTTAAGCAAAAAAAAAATAATCTTAATTTTAGCACTGTTCATGAGCAAAACAATTAGCTCCTTTTATTATTTTTATTTGTTCACAAACACAGTGTTTGGGAAGGATGAAATGGGAGGAAAGAAATAGAGGGGTATAGAAAAACATCCTTTTCAAAGTATTTTTTATTATTTAAAAGTGTATTTGTTCTTGTGGTAAAAAAATATTTTTAAATTCTTTTAATTTTTTAAATTAATTTTTTTATATTTTTAGATTATCTTGACATGTTATTTTATTTTATTTTTAAATATAAAATATTTTAAAAAATAATTACTATTATAATTTCAAACACTGTAAAAAAAATATATGTGCAAAAAGTGGAGGAGAGGAAAGTGAGAAAAGAAACTTCTTAAATGGTGGGCAATTCTTGATCTCTTCAATTTGAAGAGAAATTCTATAAAATTATTATTTTATTTTAATGAATTATAAATAAAGAATTATCACTATGTTGAAAATCATGCTCTTCTATAAATTACTTTCATTATAAATTATATTTTTTTAAAAGATAAAATAGTGCAATTTCTCATATATTTAATAATTTATTCTTCCCCTCCAACTCCTTACAATTTTTAAATAATTTTTTTTTTTCTTCTCTTCACTCTCATCCCCTTATTTTTCAGTCCTTCCAAACAAAAGAAACAAAATTTCCAATGGAGATGTGTTTATATTTGTATACTTTCAAAATATGGAACATGGGCCTTTTCTGATATGGAACATGGGCCCTTTCTGAATATGTGTTAGCCTCAACTAAATACTTTTGGCCCAAGACTACTTCCTGAGGGGTCTCTCTGCCTTTTAACCGTTTTAACCACCTCTCTCAAGCCTTTGACAGGGGAGAAGCAAGAAATCAAGAGGCAGCTTAAAATGGTGTCGCCAAAATTAGCACGCATGTAGCTTAACTGGTAATAAAATCCCTTTCCACCGGGAAATTTCGTGTTTGGATCTCTCTTCTGTAATGATAATTATAAAATATTTTCATTAATGAATCAGATTAGAAAAGGAAAAAAGAAACAGAGTTGAAAAGATTAAGTCAGTCTTTGTCCTTCTATTGATTTTTTCTCCATGAACGAAGATGAAAAAACTAATTACATGAATAGTCATGTAGAGAGCTAAGAAGGGAAGTAACATGGCATCTCCTACAGTAGATCTACTGACTAGCGAGATTATTTTGGTCCTTGAGAATGAAGCATCATTGCTTGGATGACTTGATGATGAAATTTACAAAATCAAGATGGAGTTCATAAGCATGAGATCCTTTGTAGATAGATTTCCTCGCCAAGGGAGAGAAAACCAGGGTGGAAGACACCATCGACAACTTCGTGTACTACAAGAATAGGCAGCAAAATTCGGGTAAGTACACTAGGCTTTTGACTCAACCAGTTACATTCCCAAGAATATCTCTGTGAGGCATCAAATTGCAGAAAAATTAAGAAGGAACCATTTTGCATTATGATACTAGAATATGGATGAAAAGTCATGGCGACTCCTGTCTTTTCATTGAAGATGTCTTCGTTGGGATTGAAAATGTAAAATGTGACTGTTGGGGTGGTTCTCAACGGGAAAACCATAACGACCTGTTGTTTCTTTAGCTGGAATGGTTGGTTTAGGTAAGATAACTCTAGTGGCTACTAACTACAACAGCCAAGTTATCAGTGGGAGAAATCGCTCGTGGTATTTTTAAACATTTAAAGGGGATAAAATATATTTTTTATTTAAAAAATAAAAAATTACAAAAATTAAACTAATTAAACAAAAATTTTAAATATATATTCTTTTTTTTTGTTTCTTTTAATTTTTCTACGCTTAATAACATAAATTTATCTGTTTATTTATACATGAATTTAAAACAAGAAAATTTAAATTTTAAGGGTGAAAACAGCTATTATCAATAATAATAATAATAATAATAGTTAGCTAGTGCCTGAATAGTTAAGCGGTGATAATTAGTGGTTATCTTTTTTAACTTTTTAAATTGGGTTTACTTGTACAATTGTGAGGCCACATTTTGATTGATATGCTTAGATCACTGTTTCTCAAAGTTATGTTATTGAAGATTTATTTAGAGCCATGATGGCAGGCAGGGCTTGTAAAAAGCAATAAAGGAGGACGTTCCGATGAATTTGAGCACCATGAGTTACAACCAATCGGTGGAGATTCTGGTTAACTTCTTGCATGGAAGGAAATATGTGATTGTATTATGTATATATTAGATGATGTGTGGAGTATATATAGATCTCTGTAGTGAATAAATGTTGCACTTCCTGATAGCATGAACGGAATCAGAATTTTGCTTACTACTCGGAAACAAGATGTAAGTTTCTTGGGGGCACTACGGTAGGAATTAGATCGATCATGACGAGAATGGACTTCTCCGTTATGTAATAGAAGAGTCACAGGCTCAGAGCCTCTTCTCGACTAGACGAAGGAGACATGAGTTCCATTCAGGCTTGGCTTGACCCTCCTGGAGGCGCAAAGTTCATCATTCAGTGCGGTGGCCGGAGCCTCGCCTGGCAGATTGGGGTGACGTGGATGCTGGCCAGATCCAGATAGAATCTCACTCATAGATAGAGGAAGAGTACGCATGTTATGGGCATCGGATCAGAAAGCCCTTCAGGAACCAACCGCACATCCAATTCCGTTCAAGCTTCGTTTTCATTTGGGGCTGGAATCCATGTTCATCAGCTTCTACCTCTTGAAAAGGACGAGGCTTGGGCATTGTTTTGGATGGAAGCTTTTTCAAGCAACAATGGATGTTGCCCACAAAATTTGGACTTTTAGCAAGGAATTTTTCTGAAAAATGTAAAGGCTTACGTCTAGCAATTGTGGCTTTGGCTAGTATCATGTCTACCAAGAAGTTAGAGTTCGATTGGAGGAAGGTCAATAAAATCTTGAATCTAGTCCGAAGCTTGGATTCGTAAAGAGAATATTGATGCTGAGTTTTAGTGACTTGCCTTGCAATTAAGAAATTGCTTCTTATATTGCTGTGTCTTTCCCGAAGACCGTATGATTCGACGTAAGAGGTTAGTTTAACTGTGGATAGCTGAAGGGTTCGTTAAGATGTTGAGAGGAGCAACAGTAGAAGAAATAGCTGAGAATTAATTACTTGACGGAATTCATTTGCAGGAGTATGCTTCAAGTAGTAGAGGGAAACCCATCCATTCAACATCAGACCAAAAGCCTGCAGGATTCATGATCTTATGCTGGAGCTAGCAATTATATTATTATAATCCATGGAGTTTCGTGATGTATATGATGGGAAAGAAGAAATTCAGGAGAGCGGAGCCCGTCGACTGTCAATTCAAGTCAAGGACCGAGAAATACAATCTAGCAAGGGCATGCTCTTTCTTCCTGTTTCCTGCAGACAAGACATCTAAACCTCTTTTAAGTATAGTGTTTCATGGATTTAAATTATTAAGGGTGTGGGATCTAGAGAATCTGCAGATTGGTAAACTACCTGGTTCAGAGGTCAATTCATTCAATTTCAGGTACTTAAACCTGACTGGAAATCAAGTGGAGCAACATCCCAAATCAATCGGAAAACTTTCCAAGTTAGAAAACGCTGGCTATTAACGAAACCACAATCGAGGATTTTTGGTATGCGGCTCATAGACAAATGCCCTTTCTGGGATGTAAATTAAAAAAAAATTAAAAAAATTGTTGTTAAGGATGATTGATAGGTTGGGGGTGTACGTGATCGTGTTCATGGTATGATAAAAGTAGTAGTATTGAAAATTACTGATATTTTTTGTACAGTTAGGATTTATTATAAAAATATATTATGTAAACCTATTCTGATATATATAGTCAAATAAAGCTAGCTACTCGATCCATATGGATGTAAGCACATTTCTAAGCCAGTTTTTCTTGTTTTCTCTCTTGTGCGATATTCATTATTATTGCTGAAGGTTTCTCGACACTCGTGGCATCGCAAAGCTGCAGTAGCTACGGCACTTAACTGCATACCTTCACAATCCCGGACATGGAACTGATTTTAATTATGCATTCGGTACACCGTCATCATCAGATATATATCTGTAGGCTGAAGAACTTAATTACAAGTCTTGCAGGTGTTGGGGAATGGAAACCTCATCGAATGACTTTGGTACCTAGAACAATACAGGCGATTTATCCTGACAAATGTGAGACTAGCAAATGAGAAAGACTTGTGTGCTGCAAGTGACAACATGAAACTACACAAATTGTTTCTGAAAGCAGCTAAGGAAGAGGAACCATTAAGGATAGATGCACATTCCTCACCTCCTTGCCTTGAAAAGCTCAAACTAGTTGGAAAATTGGAA